ATCTTACTACATTAGGTCTTGTATATAATTAGACAAAGCTTGACCTCAAAAACGGTTCGACACATCAAATGAGATAAAGATAAAAATAAATATCACTAGCAACATGTCTGGGGTTAAGGTATCTAAAAAAACAAAAGAACGCCAACATCCACATAACTGTGCCATCTCTACTTATTCTGCTTTGAAAAATGATAACATCTGCCACTTCCTACTGAGCAGACCAGCTAGAGCTCCATTCGCAGCACCTGGATGTTTTTAATTTATGTCGCCGCCAGAGAATGATCTTCTAAATAAAGTTTTTATGAAAAATCTTTCTTTTTCAAGCATTTAAAAACAAATCCTCCAAAAAAATGAACAAGTGGAATTAAAATAGCTGAACAGACTCAGAAGCAAAGGAAGCAGAAAATAAAAAGAGATTATGATTTAACCTTGAAAAACAGGAACTCTGTTGATGTAAGCTGTATTTTTGCCGTTGGCAATTATCGCTGCGGTCTGACTGCTTACGGTATTTAAGGCATGCAATCATTCATGTATTGCTAAAGGAAAACATGCGTTTACCCTGTGTGTGTGCACTCTCAAAGTTTTGCCTCTCCCAGTTAAGCTCCTCTTGTATCTGGTGCATCTTTTTTCGGATCTCCTGGACTTCGAGCACCTTCAGGACCAGTTGGTCCACGTCCTGCTTGGATATATCGTTCGTCGGGTACGTTGGGTACTGTGCAGGGGAGGTCTATAAACAGAAAAAACATTAAACGGACTTGCAAAGCACCACAGCTTGACCTTTTTTGCTTTTGTGGGTTTTTCTACACAATAGTTTACACAATTAAACATAAACTGTATCTGGTAAACACATCAGCTTCACCTGGTTCCCCCTGAGATATAACCTCGTGGCTTGTGACTGCCAGCTATCACCAGTGTATTTTTATAAGGGTAGACGTAAACTTGAAACAATGATGTCTTGTGGGGATTTCTAAGAAGAGCTAAGCTGTTTTATGTTGCGATATGACATATTTGGAAATGCAAGTTAGATTTGATCAAAAACACAAGTATCAGGTCAGCATGCGTTATGACTCCTGGCTAATGATTATATAAAGAAAATAATGTTGTTTTTTAAATAACTGCACAAATTTTATTGCCACTCATTGCATAAAACCAACGCCTCTTCTGGTAGATAATTCCACTACCTAACAGATATGAAGTTCATTAAGGAAGATCTGTAATTGGTCACCTATCTGCTTTCGTGGGTGTCAGGCTGTTTTTCTGTTCTTAAAACCGCTCGCTCTCACTACCACTTTCCCACACTGTCAATCTCAATAATGAAATAGTTCCTCTAGTTCAATCAGAGCCAATCAGCCTCCACTTAAGTCTGTGCTCTCTGCTTGCGACACGCTTCCTCCCCCCATTTCCACCCCACCAACTTGCCACACCTGCAATAACACTGTTCCTATTGACAGACTCAAAGATGCTTTAATATCAAGGATTTGAACTGTTGCTACTACTGCAGCAGGAAATCTATGCAGTGGGTACGTTGTAATCAAAATGTAACCACCCTGGAAATATAACAACACGTCTCAATAATAAGGAATAATAATCACAGTATCAACATAAGGACTAAAAACGAGAGATCGCCAAAATAGGCAGAATTGAGGTGAGGACGTGGAAAAACTTGAGGGATAAATACGTTTGC